CACACATGGCAGAGCGCCCTCCACCGGGCTGTGCCGTTCCCAGGTTCCCAGTGGTGTGCCCTGCGTCCTTTCTAACTTTGCTAACTTTGTTTCCGTTTCTCTCTCTTGTATTTTGTTTTAACTCCTCTTGCATCTGGCCTCTGTGTGTTTCCTTCCAGTCTCCACTTCATTTGGGTGGCGGCTTGATTTTTTTCTTCCTTTTACTTTCCTGACTTCTGCCAGGTCAGGTTTCACCTGCTCCTCTTTCCTTGCCTTTTCTCTCCTGAGTTCTTGCATTTTTAATTAGCGGTCTTTCTTCATGGCGCTTCATTCAGCTACTTGGGAGGCTGAGGCAGGAGAATCACTTACCCTGGTGGTCGAGGCCACAGTGGACTGTGTTCACGCCGCTGCACTTCCAGCCTGGGTGACAGAGCAAGGCCCTGCCTCTTAGTTTTGTTTTGCCCCATCGACGTTTTGCAGTTTGTCTCACTGCTGTCGTTCAGCTTGCTGTACGGACACCTTTTGTCCATCTCTGAACTCAGGCAGGGACCTACAGTCCATTGCGAGAGAAGCAGAAGGTCTTCAGGGCAGCACCTTTATTTTATTTTATTTTTTTTGGGACAGAGTCTTACTTTGTCGCCCAGGCTGGAGTGCAGTTGTGCGATCTCAGCTCACTGCAACCTCCGCCTCCTGGGTTCAAGCAATTCTCCTGCCTCAGACTTCCGAGTAGCTGGGACTACAGGCGCCTGCCACCATGCCCAGCTAATTTTTTGTATTTTTATTAGAGTTGGAGTTTCACCATGTTGGCCAGGCTGGTCTCCAACTCCTGACCTCAGATGATCCACCCTCCTCAGCCTCCCAAAGTGCTGGGATTACAGGGGTGAGCCACCGCGCTTGGCCGGTAGCACCCCTTTGTTTCGGAGTGGTGCATTACTTCTCGATGGTGGCCAGGCGTAGTCCTGCATAGAGGTTGGCCTGGCTCTTTGGCACCTGGGTAAACACCTGGGGTCCCTTGGGCCTGCTGTCTGCAGGAGCTCCCTGTGGGGGTAGGGAGCAGAGGAGCCTCCAGGGCTCCCCGCTCCTCTGCCCCAGCCCTCTGAGCCAGGCCAGGCCTTGAGGCCTCTCACCAGGTGCCAGCCCCCCAGCTCCCAGAGGCCCCTCCTTGTCAGTGAGGCACTAACCCGCGCTTCTCACAGCATTCGTGTGTATTTTGGTGGCTGTGGGTTGTATCTGTTAACTATTTTCCCTGAAAATGAAGTTCAGGGAGAAGGTATTTTCTTTTCTTTGAGACAGAGTCTCGCTCTGTCACCCAGGCTGAAGTGCAGTGGGGCAATCTCGGCTGAATGCAACCTCCACCTCCCGGGTTCGTGATTCTCCTTCCTCGCCTCCCAAGTAGCTGGGATTACAGGCGCGCGCCATCACACCTGGCTGGTTTTTGCATTTTTGGTAGAGACGACGTTTCACCGTGTTGGTCAGGCTGGTCTTGAACCCCTGACCCTGTGATCTGCCCACCTCGGCCTTCCAAAGTGCTGGGATTACAGGCGTGAGCCATCGACCCTGGCCCATTTTGTTTTTAATTCTTGGAAGGGAAGGTGATAATGCTGTGACTTACTTTGGGAGGCTGAGGCGGGTGGGTCACGAGGTCAGGAGATGGAGACCAGCCTGGCCAACGTGGTGAAAGCCCGTCTCTACTAAATGCAAAAAATTACAATCCCAGCTACGTGGGAGGCTGAGGCAGGGAAATCGCTAGAACCCGGGAGGCAGAGCTTGCAGTGAACAGCGATCGCACCACTGCACTCAGGATGGGTGACAGACTGAGACTCTGTCTCAGAGGAGAGAGAGAGAAAGCAAATCAGCAAGCTTCACACCTCCCAGGGTCCTTCTCATCTTCCATTTCCCCATTGATGGTAACTTATCTTCTCAGTTGCTCAGGCCAGAAACCTCAGTTACCTTCTTCTCTTTCATGTTTTACATCCAGACCATCAGCAAATCCTGGTGGCTCTGCCTTCAAGATAGATCCAGAATCTAGGCTCTTTCCACTGCCTCTACCACGGCCACCGGTCTAGGTCACCCTCCTTTGCCACTAGAGTTTTTGCCATTGCCCTCCCTGGCTTCCCGTGGTTGTGACCAGAGACCTGGTCCCTCCCACTCAGGCCTCTCCAGGGCTCTGTCTGCCCAAGTCCAGGCCAGGGCCCAGCTGAGGGGCGAATCTCCTTCCCCAGCCACTGGCCTCCTGTTCCTCCCCAGCAAGGCCAGGTTTGCACACACAGGACCTCTGTCTGTGGCACCTCCACCTGGTCTGCTCTTCTCCAGGTCCCCTGCCTGGTCTCTGCACACTTCTCAGGGGGCTGTCCTTGTCCCTTTTGGGTAGGTTTTCAGAGTGCCCCGACAGCCTCGTCTCCCTTTCTGGCCCATGTCCTAACACACGCTGAATTCTGCACACGCACCTTTCTGGCCCGTCTCCCAACGCACGCTGAATTCTGCACACTCACCTTTCTGGCCCGTCTCCCAACGCACGCTGAATTCTGCACACTCACCT